AAAGTACATCAAGAATAATCACGAATCGTAAAAAAGAACATCAAGAACCAAAAAAAAAAAAAAAAAAGGTGAACATCAAGAACATCAAAAGCATCTCTGTTTGTTGGTGGTAACCTTGGTATCTGTTTTTGTTTTTTTTGGGGGTTTGGGGGGGGGGAAGGGCAGGGGGGAAAGAATCGCTAGGAATATGTTTATAGGTTGGTAGCCATCGTTTGTGAAGTGCATTTGTAGTTTTGCCAATCAAGGTGAATGCACTTACAAGTCTAGGAGGGTTCTCATCCTAGCAGGTTTGATCAGGCATAACATACATTCTCAGAAGTTGCTGACAAAGGCTATTCTGCTCAGTCTGATAATTTTTCAGGGTGTCTACCGGAAGACATGGTTAGTTGAGTGCCATGGACTTTGACGATAAACTTTTGGCATTCTTGTCTCGTGATTTGTGACAATCCCCTAAGGGAACCAAATGAGAAACCTTTGACCCTCTTTGACGTCTATGCCTGGCATGACATCACAGAGCCTTTGGATTGGTCTGTCAGCTGTGGCCATACTTGACCGGAACTTGATCCCGCAAAAATATTGGCCTCTCTCTCACTTGTATGCCGGGGTTGCACTTACTTTCCTAGGGCCTACTTTCAACTCCTGAGGCCCTGGTGCCTCTTTCTGATCCTTGACCCCAGTCTGTACTTAATCAGTCTTGGACCTCTTGCGTGCGTGCAGCGTCTCGGACCGGTGCCCTCAGCCTCAAGAAGAGCTGAGTTTCTTAACCACTACAGCCAGGACGCGGTGTAAAATGTGGTTCCATGCCGGTCGTGATATCCACCCCACTCCTGCATGGCTGTAGTAGTGTTCATCAACTTACACAAACACACACACAACTCCACACGAAGGCAGTAGTCATACACTCTGCTCCCATCCAGCACAACTGCTTATCTAATGGTTTTATACACCGGCCGCCACATCCAGGTATGATTTCCGGGCTGGTTACCAGGTTAGAGTACAGTCTGCTGTAATTTATCAGCCTGGGACCTCATCCGTGGACGCATGCATTCAAACCGACGCCCTCGGCCTCAAGAGCCAAGTTTCTTAACCAGTACAGGTCTACCGACCGAAGCACTTTCTGATTATTCTTTGTAGGCTGTAGGGCACACTTTTGACCCTAGAACTTGCACTCGGTCAACAGCTACGACCCTACGAGGCTACAACTTGTCCTGCGTTGGTTTTGACCCAATTCTTTGCAACTGTGCTAGTGCTTGGCCACACGGCAAGCAACAAGAGAGCTCCTCGGGGAGAAAGGAGACTCTTACCTTCACCAAGAGTGTAGATGCCAGGAAGTGATGGTGCCCAACCTTGAAGGGAGGGAGGGAGGAGAGAGAGTTTAGGTCTTTGAACTGGCCCGCCCTAGTCACGAGGCAGTTCATAGGGACTTGCCAGGCACTTCACGTGCAGGAGGCAGGAGGCAGTCTTCAGGATTCGGCAGCAGCACTCTGGAGGAGCGCTGCAGTAGTAGTAGTAGCGTTAGCAGTAGTCTTCAGCGCTGGGTAGCGTTGGAGAGAGAGAGATGGTTGGCAGAGGCCAGGGAGACTTACCTGTGGCGCCATAGCTCCAGCTTCGTCTTCGATGTACCTGCAACAAGGCGCCACCTTCACAGGCTAGTACCGGACTGAGAGAGAGAGAGAGAGAGAGTTCTTCTTCTTCCTCTTCTAAGTCCACCATCTCTCCCTCACCCTCTCGCTACCTAACTTCTCAGTATCTGCAGACTACGAGAGAGAGAGAGAGAGAGAGAGAGAGAGAGAGAGAGAGATTGGTGACTTTGGGACTTGACGACATTTGGATTCAGACTCGACATTGGGATTGAGACATTGGACGAGGGATTATTTGGGACCTGTACCGAAGACTTGGTGTTGACGACATTCCCATCTTCCCCTCTTCTTCGTCTAAACCCCCTTCTCTTCGTCTGTGTATGGTTGGGGACTGGCGCATTCTTCCTGTGTGAGCGCCAGGCCCCTTCACACCATGGAATGATGATGATGTATGTTTGGTCTGCATTGCAACATTGATTGTTCGGATCATTGGTATATTAGCCTTCCGCTGTGCTATCTTGTACTATGTGCGAGAGTTCGGTTCTTGTTCTGGTCTGCACCTTATAGTATGCGACACCTAGGGATCGAGTCTTACACAGATCGCTGGGCCTATGTACAGGGTAAAGGGTAGGTCTAGGGATCGAATCTCACTCAGCACACAGGGTCAATGTACAAGGTACAGGGTAGGTCTAGGGATCAAATCTCACTCAGCACACAGGGTCAATGTACAGGGTTTGGGCACAGGTCTAGGGATCGAATCTCTGTGTCTGCAATGTTGGGTCAACTGGGTGAAACCGTTTCAGCTAATTCTATCACATCATAAATAGGTAAAACAGTAAAAACACACAAAAATTGAAACCAAATGTCTGGAGGAGTTAAAAAAGCTGCTATTAAGACTGAGAAAAGAGAGCCCTCCTTTCAGCCATAACCTCACTCTACTTCACTTGGTGGCATCCCTTGTTATGGTGGTTCATCCATGTACATTGCGGATGTTCAAAGGACAATGCAAACTCTACAATGCCTCTCCCATCTCTATCCGCCATAGCCACACTCTCGGATGAAGTCCCAGGTCAGTGTGAACCCACACAGGGGCCTTGTAGATGCAGTGCCAGCCAAGGAAGTGGAGAAAAAGGTCCACCATAGCCAAAGGTGAGTCTCCCTCCCGGTTCCCACCTCCTTCTTTCTCCTCCTACCTCTATTGTTCCTTTGTAGCCATCTAGAGGTCCATCGCCCTCACCTCCATAGCCTAGGCCTATCTCTACCACCCCGCCACGACTCGTCCGTAGCCATGGAGGTCCATCACCCTCCATCTCCACCTTCTTCTCCAAGTGATCCGCCAACATCTCCCTCTGGGCAGAGCAGCATAATGCTCACTTGAAGAATGAACCGCAGTGTCCAGCTCAAGTCACTGGACCTACTGATTTACTTCGCCTGTCTGGCCTCCGCTACCTACTGGCCGGGTACTTCCCAGCACTATCCAGCCTCCCTTGGGTGCACGAGGCCTACCGTGTGGTTCTGATTTTTGGCGGGAAAATCATGTCAGCCTGCAACTCGTCCTCAGGGCCTGTATCTAGCCTAACACCCTACTAGGTGCGGCCCTGAACAATCATCACTCGTTTCGCTGCAGCTGATCTACCTGCTAAGCCTACCGGTTTCCAGTGCCTATATGAGTTGCTGGAAAATCCTACAGGTCCCCTGGCTGTCTCTCTACTCCTACCTTGTCCCTGTCAGAGACAACAGGCAATCACACACAGCCAAAATAGTTAGCACACGAGCCCAGAGTCAGACCCAGTCAAGCAGTAGGTCACACACACAGTTAGAGTTCACAGCAAAGCAGACTCTCAGAATTCTTGGGAAAGGACACCAATTTTTCAGAAACTGCAGGGGAATCTCAGGCATTGATGTGTGCTACTCAATGAATCGTAGCAAAACAGACCATGGTAGCCATCCGGACGTCCGGACCGGGTTCCAGACAGTCCGGTGTCCGGTGTCCGGTCCTCATGTCCGGATGGAGGCCCCGGGGGCAAAAAAAAAAAAAAAAAAA